TGTAACGAAATGTTACCTACACACTCTGGTTCGACTGCCGCTTTCGCTTGCAGGTTTCATGGATTGTAAATAAAGTATGAAATAGTATTTAGGAAGCAGAGATCGGTGACACAAACAACTTAGGCAGATATAGATTTCGCACGTTTATTGTACATTCAAACTTAACAGTATAACAAGATACGTGGCGGCAGGTGGGTTTCTAAGTTTCACTACAATTTAGTGAAATATTCAGTACAACATGTCCCTGTCTATAACTCGTACTCGCCCTATATTCGAGCAAGCTACTTTATCACTAGTCCTAAAGCCCTCCACGAGATAACTCAACCACGTGACAATACGGCCGGAGAGTTTCCAAGTTTCACTATAATTTAGTGAAATATTCAGTACAACATGACCCTGTCTATAACTCGTACTCGCTCTATATTCGAGCCAGCTACCTTATCACTAATCCTAAAGCCCTCCTCGAGATAACTCAAACACGTGCACGAGGACATGCGGCTATCACTTCCGCTCAATAGCTTTTCCGTTAACCCTTCTACATTCCGCCACACGCCTTCATGTGGGCTAGAGGAGCCTACCGCTCATAGACACAACCATGGCATGTCCAGAACATAAAGGGCGGAGAATGCATAACATCTCTCCTTCAAACGGTATGACGACCGGCATGTCTCCCGCAAAAATATCTCTAAGTTCACCTCGCTATTTCCCTATTAAACTAACGCCATAGTACAAAAATACTACCAAAAACCTAACAATGTATGTTCAGTAAACGTTTACGACCCCGAATTCTGGAAGGATGGGCGACATAGAGTAATTAAATCATTGGATTTAGACAGCTGAAAAAGTGCTGCTTACCTGGCTGAAGTCGGGAAAAAAAGTGCTCTATCCCAGAAGCCCCGTTGATTATTTCCGGTAGCGGCCGGTATAATTTTAAGGATTCCCGCTGGTCGGAGAATTAGACGGAACGCAACGCCCCAAAACCTTGGTGCGTTACACACCCCCTAACCACACGAATAGGCTGCGACCCCGTAGCCGGAACCAAAAAAAACTCTCAAAGTTGTAGTTGTTTTCCCAAGTACTGAACATCGATTGCCAAGATTCGTCTTTATTCGCTAAGAAGAATACAAGTGTACCCACTGCCTAACAATGCCACAATTTTCAACAAAAATAAAACAAATACCATATGACAATAATACAATTGATAATCTCCGATACAATGGAGGCGTAACCCTGCTGGCTTATAACAACACTATAATAATACAACCCTGGAATGAACACAATCATAATGTCAAAGTTGATTGGTGAGCACCATCATAATATCAAAGTTCATTGGTGAGCGCCATCATCATCAAAGTTCATTGGTGAGCACCATCATCATCAAAGTTCATTGGTGAGCACCATCATCATCAAAGTTTATTGGTGAGCACCATCATTGTAGCAAGTTCAGTAGGGAGCACCATCACAATAGGAAAGTTCATTATGCTCGTAATATGTTCAAACACAGGATTTCCACACCCTAGCAGTATTCAGTCAGGTATAAACAATTCAGCTAAGTTTGCCATCTACCAACCAATGCAATAAATGTCAGCTCGAGCGAAAAATTAGTAAAGTTACCAAGATATTACAAAATTTACCCAGTATCCCATATGGAGTTACCCTAACAATTTAAAGGTTCCCTAGACCCCAACTATTTAAAGTTTCCCTAAACCCCAATAACTAGAAATATCCTTAGACCCTAACAATTTAGAATTTCCCTAAACCCTAATAATTTAAAACTTCCCTAAACCCTAACAACTTAGAATTTCCCTAAACCCTACTAATTTAAAGGTTCCCTAGACCCCAACAATTTAAAGTTTCCATAAACCCCAATAACTAGAAATATCCTTAGACCCTAACAATTTAGAATTTCCCTAAACCCTAATAATTTAAAACTTCCCTAAACCCTAACAACTATGCAAGTGCTTGTTTGACAGGGATCGCGCGATACCCCTCCCTCGATCATTTCATTCCCAATAACAAGGTGGAGCAGCAAAGCCCGGTGTGCGTATGCATTCCGCAAACCACGCCCTGTCGATCCAAATATGTCACTCAGAAATGAAACACCCATAGAAGAATCAGAAGCACAGACACAGCGGCTTGGATTAAAATTTGACAATGGTAGTAAGTTTCATAAACCAATACTTCCTAATTAAGCACCCCTATACAAAAGTAAAATTTAATTTGCTAAAGCATCAGGAATATTCTAGAAATATTACCATTATCCTAATAATTAATAGCCGACCTTCATTACACCGGTATTAGGGAATACCCCCATTATATTTAATTGAACAAACCTCCCCTACAAGGGAGGGAAAACACCTGCTTTGCACAACTGTTCTTATCTAGATACAGTTGTAAAAAAACAAAGCCAATAAACTTAAATTAAAAAAATCGTATTACATTGCTACAAAACTTAACATTCTGGACTTTGTCCCGACATCAGGCAGTCTGCTTATCCCCCCCTTAAACATTAATTTTTGGGGAAGCCACCCCTGTGCATAAAGTATACGCCTATTTAATATATATATATACTAACCAGACATTTAGCTACCAATACTACAGGACCTCTAGTTTTATAATAATCCACACAACAATTCAGCCCGACCAGAGATGACGTTATCCCCACCCCAACTAAACTAATACTAACTAAGACAATTGCTCTGTCACCATGTTGGTCAAAACAACTCTAGCCACAATAACATTGAGCGCTCGTCATGGCTAGGCTAACCCTAAATGGCCGAATAACCCACCCAATGAATTTTCTTCAGTGGAAGTCAGAACTGAGTTCAATCTTCAATGTTGGTCAAAACAACTCTAGCCACCAAAGTGGACCCCAGAGGGCGACTCCACAACTAGACCTACTCCTACATATATTAACCCCCCCCCATTTCTCCGATCAGATTAAATTAACAATAATTTCAATCCCTACCTAGCAANTTAACATGTCAAACTAATTAATTACCTATCCTAACCTATAGCACACCAAAGAAATATCGATACCAAATCATATCACTTCTATGAAAACATGCATTACACACAAATATGTCCATAATCACAAAATGTCACTTCTTCACTGGCACACTTCTTTGGGGGAGGGGATGGTCCTTCAGGCCCTAAGGTCAAGGTCACCTGCCTGGCTCACACATAGGTTTATGGTAACTTTATGTCCACCACGTCCTGAGGAATCCCATAGAGGTTGGTTCGCGGTAAGGTATTAAAGTCCTCACACCAGTATTTGGGGGTCACTGCCGACCCTAGGGGCGAGGAAGGCTACCCCAATGTCTCTGAATCACAGCTTGCACTTAACAAATAACTTGGAGTGTCGTTCATTACCGTGACGTGGTGAACTCTCAAGTCCATAGGCACTGTATTCGGTACACCTATATGACGCGAGCAGGGGTCTACATCACAGGGGCCTGGGTCCTCTTCAACGACTCCCTCCCCCGGGTTTGGGTGCCAGCAATGCAGGATCATATGGAAATTTAAACAAAGGTAGACCTGTTTAGTAAATATCCGACATTAAATTTGTACATTTCAGACAAGATACATAACATTCACTCTGCTACAGGATCTGCTATCTCAACAACTCCAGACGGTTGAGGCATTCAATATAAAAAGAATTTACATTTGACTAATTTTTTTTCCCTGTTAAATATAAATGTATACCACTTCACTGCTACATTTTTTTTATCATCTTGCAATACACATGTAAAGTTCTAAACAGGTTCAGATTTTACCTGGTTTACCTTTCCAATAAATGTTAAGTATTGTCAGTTCCCAACCACTCAATGCACAAGAGGTCATGATAACCGATCAACCGTTCCATTTGGGCTACATTGTACCCACCGGTAGATTGCTACACTGTTTGTACTCATGATCAGTGGGCCGTGACCCACAAGCCAGTCATGCGTTATAACGCTGACGACTTTGTATACACAGACGTGCATGCTTTTGTTAGGTAAATGACCACGTCTACAACGGTGCGGTTTAACCTCTGACTTGTCAACTTTTTCTCGTGGTTAGATTATACAACAGGAAACTGACACAGTAAATATCAACTATAAATCCAAATTAATCGTCTCTGAACAAAACGTTTTTAAATGAAATAATTAAAGTTTGCCCAACAGACTGGAGTATCAAGAAACTCAAATCCCAACAGAAGTGAACATAATTGCCCTACAAAGCTAACAATATTATTTGTAGATTGCTTCCCCTTCTAGCTGGCAGCCTATGTCACCCAACCCCCCGGGATACCTAGTTTTAAATGCCACTAACCCCGCCTCCTGAAACCGTTTGTGTAGGAATATCTACAGAAACAGATAATTTCTTCATTTTGTAATATATTAACCGGCGTTCTTATAGAGATAAAGCCGAAACAAAGTGTTTTTTTTTTCTCCCATTACCCCCCACACTGGCCACCAAATGTAACGAACTGGGGTCCCTACGTGGGCGCCAATTGTAACGAAACGTTACCTACAAACTCGGGTTCGATTGCCGCTTTCGCTTGCAGGTTCCATGGATTGTAAATAAAGTATGAAATAGTATTTAGGAAGCAGAGATCGGTGACACAAACAACTTAGGCAGATATAGATTTCGCACGTTTATTGTACATTCAAACTTAACAGTATAACAAGACACGTGGCGGCAGGTGGGTTTCTAAGTTTCACTACAATTTAGTGAAATATTCAGTACAACATGACCCTGTCTATAACTCGTACTCGCTCTATATTCGAGCAAGCTACCTTATCACTAATCCTAAAGCCCTCCACGAGATAACTCAACCACGTGGCAATACGGCCGGTGGGTTTCCAAGTTTCACTATAATTTAGTGAAATATTCAGTACAACATGACCCTGTCTATAACTCGTACTCGCTCTATATTCGAGCAAGCTACCTTATCACTAATCCTAAAGCCCTCCACGAGATAACTCAACCACTTGGCAATACGGCCGGTGAGTTTCCAAGTTTCA